GAGAGATGCGGGTTCGAACCGTAGCAAGCTGCCCCACTGTGCTTCGATGCTACCAACAGAAAGACGGATAGAAAGTCTTTGATTTGTGAGTAACTGGGGCAACATGTCTTCAAGTGCGATGTTTGGAGCCATCGTCGGATCACTTGCATTACAACTGCAATTCGCACTATCTCATCTGGTAACTGAATAAATCAGCTTAAAGTGCGATCTGCAAACTGCAAAACATATCTGCAGAGGTGACTCGCAAGTCGTGAGGTCGAACCGCCAAGACGTTGAAGGAAGGAGGAAAGTCGTTGAGATAAAGGACTTTCACACACTTTCATTGCACGATGTTGTGGCGCAATTTAAGCAGGCTATAACGCAACGTTTCTATCCTTTCAGGGGCGCATTAGCCTGAGGGCTGGCACAGCCTTGATCTCCTTTTAGCTTATAGTGATACTGCATCCAATGACATTGATCACCTCCTACATACTTTTTGTTGAATGATGCGAATTCTACAGAAGCTCTGGTCTTTATTAGTTTTTTAAGTCATTTTCAAGTTTAGCCATGCCACATTTGAATAACAAGGTTACAGAAACAAAAAGTAGTTTGACCGCACTGAAAAGGTTTCTCACGGTTATTTTAGATTTTGTTGCCGCAGCGAGTCATCGCTCATATCATCTATCTGTTTGAAGGGTATGCATCTATGCCTTGTGCTATAGATCACCTAAGATTTCTTAAGCATGATTAGTTAATTGAATACACCCATATCTGCATTTCGCTTCTGGACAGTTTCGTCAGGTAGAACAAATAATCAGCCTCTAGCTTATTTAGTAGCTTTCAGGTTCCGTTAGTGAATCCTAGTACTTGTTAATTTTTTAGTTATATCGCTGCAGATAATATTTCTGAAAGCTGTGTAGATGGAAAGGTGCAGCTTAGTCTGTATTGCTACCGTGGTAATGAAAATCAGCCTTTGCAATGTTGCGTTCAAATGTCTGCTCCGAAAGTTCAATGGTGTATGTTTCTGTTTGTTGAGATCATCTCCAAGAGTCGTTTGCATACGCAGAACGTCTTCACTGGTTTGTGACATCTGCTATATCCGCAGCCTTTTGATAGTTTTTGCTACAGAACACTGGTTATGACTGGTCACTGGCACTGCACCGTAGTAGAAGCAATTCCTCTCCGAAGGCAGATCTGCCGCTACCCTGTTCCTTCATGATGCATGCGGGCCTCCTGATCGCCGTCAACGATGTTTCAGCTCCCACACGTATGGGGTAAGTCATCT